TGAAATGCTCAGAACAGCTCATCTGTCACCAACAACTATGCCACACACACACTCAAGTTTAAATCAATCCAAATAAATGTGGTACTCTTGTAGAGATTGTTTTTTCTGTTTTATAAGGGGCTATAAAAAGACTAAATGACATACAAATATTTCTCATGCACTCAGCAAGCATTGCCCCAGGTGAAGGACAGTGACATGAGAAAAACCTTCAAAACTCAGCCTTATGGGCAATTAACTATTTAAGATATTTCCCAGTCATTGTGAAAGATTGGAACGTATGACGCATATAGTCTGAATGCACCTGTATTTTTTTAATCTAACTACAAAGATTAAACTAAACCTTAATATGCTGTTACAATTTTATCAATGAAAAAAAGAGCACATTGCCAAAAATACAATTTTGTCAAAAAAAATATCCAAACAATTAATTTGAAACGACATTTTCCCGCTATCCTATATTTTGGTGAATATTTGAAAGTCTCTACTGTCACTAGTTAATGTAAAGTACTGTGAAAAATTGCTAGTAAATGTATTCTCTAAAGTTCAGATGGCACCCAAAAGCTTTGAACGTGTCACAGTAAAGAGTATGAGAAATCATCAGGCAATTGACAGATTGAGGTAATAGTATGTCAAATTATTTAATATATTAATATATAATTCTGATGCAGACAATGATAACAATCCGGTTGTTCAGTCTGACGTCACTAGCCGTGTCTGGGTCTAAACTCCGCTGCAGGTCCATATATCAAACGATCACTATGGCATTACTGAGAGTTGAAAAACTGTCTAAAGTCTTTCATCTTTAATAAAATGATCAGCGTTCTGCTCTACCAGGTGTAACAATTGAGTTTAACATCCAGGCATCCATGAAAACGGAATTTATGACATTTAACGGAGTTAGAAGTTAGCAGGGAGTTAGCTCGCTAGCTTCTATCTAAATACAATATAGCATGTCCTGACTGCGGGGTTTTGGAAACAAATTCAAACGTACAGCTCTGTTATCACTTCCAGCATAAATGAAGACAGAAAACTAAACAGCAGTGACGTTTGTAGGGTTACTGAAGTTTGGCTGGTATATAATGATGTGCTACGTGACCGCTAGCGACACAGCTATGTTAGCATAATATAAACAAGTTAACTTTTTTCCACTCGATAAAAGTTACCGTGAGTTTTCTCGGTGTTCAGAAACAAATGTAATCGCATGGCAGGATGCTGTAAAAGGACCAAACTTCAGCCAGGAGAACAACTGAGATAATTCATCCACAATACAAAGTTAGTCATTCATATACTGCTGCATGGGCTGGGCTGTAGTTACATCCTAAGGTTTTAAAAAAACTGAGCTTAAATAAATGATTAGCGGTAATAAAAGCCGAGGGAGGTCAACAGGGATCACTGACTGTTTTAGGAGCTTTTTGAGATCAAATAGAAGAAAATACATAGCATTAAACATGTTAACAACATAAAAGCCATATTACACGCAGACTACTTTAGACCCGGAAGTAGGATTCGTCACGTCATCACTTAACAATCGGATTGCATTAGTCTTTACTTTTAGGCTGAATGTTTCAATTTATTTATTTATTTTGTCTTTGTTATGCAGGGAACAGTGATAGATTTTGGAATAATGCACATTTACCTACATTTTATTTGACTTGGTGTGCATATCACATAACATACAATGCATAAACTTCTATGTTTACACTAAATTTTACAGATTTATACAGGAAAATTGGAAAACTGGTTTACAAATGTGCCACAGCACCATAACATGGTAGATAAAACAAAAGCAAACCCCTGTGTGAAAAATCCATGCAACTTAAAATTTTAAATCCTGGGCATGATATTGTACATCATGTGGCAGAACTTGATCTGAATATCTGAATGTACTGGAGTCCATCAATAGCCTATCTGTCTTAATACCAAAGCCACACAGCCTCTCTCTCCCTTTCATTTTCTCCCTCTGACTCTCCCCTCCAACAGCCACACACAAGGCCATCCATTCAAAGGCCTTCCTCGTCCAGCCCCAGCAGTCCCCTGAGGCGTCTATACGTTCAGACCATGCTGCCTGGGATTAAAGTGTAAGATAGAAGTAGCTAGTGGGGATTGCTGCTTCTTCCTAGCTGATGGCGAGGCTCTGTAGGGCTTCCTTTGACACCCCCTCTCTGCTTTGGCTCACAGTTTGAAGATGAAGGCTTATTTGAGGAAAAATTATAGAGGACGGAGTTTTTGGTGCTGCTTTATATTAATGTTATTCTCTTGTACAGTATAAGAGACCAATAGTTAAAAGCATTTAACAATTGGATTACTGCATTATAATCCTGCCCTGTATTTCTTTCACATTAACTGTGTTAAAAAAAATCATAATGAGAGGTGTCCTGTGATTTTAGCTAGCTACTACTCTAAATTGTTCATGCGGTACTTTGCTTTTATGTACCAACAAAAATATCTGGACAGTCTGCTCTGTGTCAGCTGGGTTGTCTGGATTTAATAGAAAATTCTTCCAAGAATATGCATCACTAAGGTATAATAAACTGCATCACACTGTTTTGATTATTACTGAGGACTTTTTGCATTACTGCTTGTATTTTAAGTCTGCCCAAATTATGTGTTTTGAAATTACCACTCATCATCAAATGAGTCATCAAATGGCACAAATTTAAGGTGATTTCTTTCGGCATATTGCATTATTCAGAACGTGTAATTGACTTTTAGTTTTTCACAACGCCAATATCATTTCTTTATAAATCACGTAGTGTAGCATGGATGAAAGAGTAAGGCTGTTACATTACAAAAACACTCCTTTATGGACTGTTTGTGGTCTAAATGCGACATTGTGTTTAATGTATGCCAGTATCCTAGAATGAAATTCAATGAATAAAATAAAGAGCTTCATCTCAGAATCTACAGGCCTCAGCTAGTACGTTAGATCTTAAAGTTCATAACAATACAACTGGAACAAGTCTGAATATGTATGGCTTGTTTGGAAGGGTTTCCAATAAAAGCCTTGTCTCTCTTAAAAGAGCATGCCATAAAGCTTGGGTTTGCGAGGTTGCATCTTAACAAATCAAAAGATGTCCTTCAGAAAGATGAGACCATTGTGGAAATGTTTTGCCATAATACGCAGCACCAAGCTTGACGAAAACATACAGAGCAGATCAGCACAAAGCACTCTGGTGGAGGGATGACAATTTGAATCTTGATTTGCAGCCATGGGACCTAGTCACCTTGGAGTCATTCAGTTAACCATGTATAGGCTACCAAAGTGTTCAGGAGGCAAATGTCAGGCAATCTCTCTAGCAACTAAAGCTTGGCTGAACTTGGATCATACAAGAAGACAATGATCCCAAGCACACCAGCAAATCTACAACAGAATGGCTGCAAAAGCATCAAGGTGCAGCAATGGCCCTTTCAAAATCCAGACCTCAACTGGCCTAAAATGCTGTTGTGGGACTTGCATAAACAAATGCTCACAAACTCTAATGAACTGAAGCAACATTTAGAAGAAAAGTGGGCAAAATTCCTCCATAATGATGTTAAAGCATGTTAAAGTCATACTGAAATTTATTACTTCAAATTATTGCAGCTAAATGTAGTTTAGCTGCAATACAAGCTACTGAATCATGGGGTATACCCAGGCTTTCAAAGGGCTGCACAGGGTCCTGTAAAAAGTCTTTTTCACATGACTGTATGTAACAGCACTTTATTACTTTACACCACGATGCATTTTAAGGTAATTTAACATCGCTTAAATGAAAATACAAGACAGCAGTTTTTAATATTACGTCCTAGAGTACATGGTGATGTTTTAAAGTGAAGTGACCTCTAGCTGCTGTGTTAATCACTGCATAATATGCACCACGGGTGTCCCACCTGTACTCATGATGGAAAGTAGTACCTGAAAACAAACACTGAGCTTTGTGTGTTTAATTTAGTAAAAAGCTGTATTTTAACTCAAAACACGTTGTTGTCCTATCCCTAACAAGCAGTTATATGCCAAAATGTCACCTACCATAAATAAAAAATGAAAGTAAACAAGAAATTAAAATAAAACTTTAAAGTGGCTTTGAGCAACAGTCACGTTCCAACATTCGAGGTAAAAGTTAGATGTGTTTTTGTCACCTTCCTGCTACCCTTCCTGCTTTCTAATGCAAACTTTTCCCCTTTTTTAAAAGTGCAAAAACCTGAATATCTGTCATGTCCCAGCAAACACTTTTAATCGATGAATTACTGCTGGCTGACAATCTTGTCTTGACATTTGGTATAGGAACAGTTCCAAAATGAAAGTTATGCCAGAGAAATAATCTAACCGTTATACATTCGAGCAGATTTGTGTAAAAAAAAAAAAAGGGGGGGGGAGTATATTACATTTCTTCAGACAACACAGACAGAGGTATTTTTAAATTCCTTCCAAACAAGCGCTGTTTTGTCAAATATTTTGTCCACGAGAAAACTGTCAGCAGCATGCCAACGCATCAAGTGGCAATATAACTGACTTCATAAAAGGAGATGAGGGCGCACACCTTTGACACTGTAAGGCAAGGTTTTATTTTTTCATCTCCACAGGAAAAGGCAAAAGCAGAGTTTCTATAATTCTTCAGCCTGGAGAAAGTCTTCCGAGCTGTTTGTTTGCTTGTTTGTGAAAGGACGATTTGATCATTTAGATGAGGGACTTGTTAAGGTCAAACGTTTACAAGGGTACCAAGCAGGTTAAGGCAGGGTGTAAAACATTAGGCCTGCATGGCATGAAACATGTGCAAAGGGGAATTATTGATAATACTACTACTACTACTACTACTACTACTACTAATAATAATAATAATAATAGAAGAAGAATAGAAGTTTCTTGTCTGCCAACAGGGTTTATTTTTCATTTTGAGATTATAAAAATAATAATGAGTAAACAAATGCATAACTTGAAATTTTAAATTGGATTTAAAGTTGATTGATTGATCAAGTCCAGTTTCCTGCATCACAACGTCACGTTCTGCTTTACAGTGCATCACCACCATACTGGAAGTGCCAAGTGAGTTGAAGTCTGTCACAGATGATGGCAAAGTGAGGCAGAGGGGAGGAGGACTGATGACACGGAGCTGGCACAGCGAGCGAGTCGTACATTGTACTTTGTGGTGAAGGAAGGGAAGCGTGCGTCTCCTCTCCATCACATTTCACTTTTTCAAACAGTGACGGGGAATCAAAGAAGGCAGGATGTAGAATCCGTCAGACACAGACCGTTTCTTCAGAGTCTTGCGGTTAATTCTGCTGCTTTCAGTTTTTTCGCTCTGCTCGGTGCGGGAGTCTGCCGATCGACCGAGGTGAAGAAGAGAGGTGTTGCTCGCTGCCTCAGCTCGCTGGATGGATCCGAGCTCATCCTTTCTCACTTACAACTGAGGACTCGGTTTGGAAGAGTTGGGATTTTGTTCCCTCCTCCACTCCATCTCCTTTTCTGTGAGTATTCCTGTTTTCGCCGACCCTTTTATTCAGTTCTTATCTTTGGAAGGGCTGATATAAATTTAGAAATTTGCATTTATCAGGTGAATAAATGCGTTTGTTGGGGAAGTTGTGCGATTCGTGCGCTGGAGGCGAAAAGCGGTGTTTCTAAGGCGTGAACGTTTCAGAATCACTTTTTGTCACGTTTTGAGTATAACGTGCACGGACACAAGATGTTTGCTTATACTCGACCAGGTAATACAAGTCAGTAAAGAAACGTCATCAGGTCATTGTGTAATTTATGTACTTTAAAATTCTAACAGGGAAAACCGCGTAACGTTATCAGCGCATGGAGAACTCTGAAGTAGATTTCCTCCTTATTTAGATTCAACAGGTTTGGCTGTCACTGTTTTTCACCGTAGGATAGTTAATGAAGCTGCTCAGAACAGAAGCCTTATAGTTGTTTCTGTCGCCGATGCTGGTTAAATTGTACATCTAATTGTTCCTTTTCGACATAGGCTTGGACACAAAAGGCGAGTCATTTGATTCACATGCGTACCAATTAATTGTGGTCTAAGTCGAACTCGTGCACATTTTATTTTTTTCATAGAAATCAGATTTTACATTTCACACAAACTTTTACATCCACCTTTAGCTGTTCTTTCCATTTTTAGCAGCTCAGGTGGCATTTTGTATAGATGACATTTTCAGATATTTAAACAAGAGACTGCTGAAAGTGAAAGGAGATTTAACAGAGAGGAAAAATGTTTTGAAACTCATAGTAGAATAGGCATGATGGTACACAGCACCTTGATGGTCAGCACTGGTCATTTGGTTGAAGACTGAATGTGTTGCTGTTAATTATCCACATTCCCTTTTTTGTGTTTTCTTCTTCAGATGCCAGATCATTTTCAGGGCAGTTAAGTCTGAAGGTGTGGAAGACTTTGCTTCACAATGGCAACAGGAGTAGCAGCGTGGCTCCCCTTTGCCAGGGCTGCAGCAATTGGCTGGATGCCTGTGGCCAACTGCCCCATGCCTATCGCGCCAAGAGACAACAGCAAGAAACAAGATGAACTTATCATCCTCAATGTCAGCGGCCGTCGTTTTCAGACCTGGAGAACAACATTGGACCGCTACCCAGACACCCTACTGGGCAGTTCTGAGAAAGATTTCTTTTACAACGAGGAAATCAAGGAGTACTTTTTCGACCGGGACCCTGACGCCTTCAGAAGCATTCTCAACTTTTACCGAACGGGAAAGCTCCATTATCCTCGTCACGAGTGCATCTCGGCCTATGATGAGGAGCTGACTTTCTTTGGCATCATACCTGAGATCATTGGAGACTGCTGCTATGAAGAATACAAGGACAGAAAGAGGGAGAACTTAGAGCGGCTGCAGGATGATCAGGAAGAGAATATGGACCTGAAGATGCCCAACATGAACTTCAGAGAGACCATGTGGCGCGCCTTTGAAAACCCCCACACCTCCACCATGGCCCTGGTCTTTTACTATGTCACTGGGTTCTTCATTGCTGTCTCAGTCATTACGAATGTGGTGGAGACCGTGCCCTGTGGTGCTACTGCCAATCAGAAAGACATGCCATGTGGTGAACGCTACACTGTTGCGTTCTTCTGCATGGACACCGCCTGTGTTATGATTTTCACCGTGGAGTATCTGTTGCGCTTGTTTGCCGCACCTAGTCGTTACCGCTTCATGCGCTCTGTGATGAGCATCATCGACGTGGTGGCTATCTTGCCATATTATATTGGTCTAGTGATGACCAACAACGAGGATGTCAGCGGCGCCTTCGTGACACTGCGTGTGTTTCGAGTGTTTCGTATCTTCAAGTTCTCCCGCCACTCGCAAGGCCTGCGGATCCTGGGTTATACACTCAAGAGCTGCGCTTCGGAGCTGGGCTTCCTCCTCTTCTCACTCACCATGGCCATCATCATCTTTGCCACGGTCATGTTTTATGCAGAGAAGGGCTCCAGCTCCAGCAAGTTCACCAGCATCCCAGCTTCATTCTGGTACACTATTGTCACCATGACGACGCTGGGGTGAGTAATAGACATATGCAACCCCCACACACGCACACTGACACAGGTAAATGCATTCACACACAGTTACACGTTGTGGTATATGTGTATTTTTGTTTGTGGAATTATAACAGAGTTGCTTATGATTTTAATAAACTGAATAATTTATGAAAACCACTTTGAATTTCAAATGAGCATTAAGACAGCCTTCCCCCATACTTCAGTACGCTACAGCTTATTTGAAACTGCCAGTGTGATTAATGGTGGGGAGTGTAGCATTTATCTATCAGCACAAACATTCATGGCGTTTTGTTTGCCTTAGTTAGAGCTCTCCAAATAAGAAGACACTGTTTGAACACATGCAATACACAAGTAGATGCTCAGATAATAGATTTGTATTTGTGCAAGGGATGTACAGCTCATGCAGAGCCACATCTTGTAGTTTCTTTTTTGATCAGTGTAAATTCATGGAAAAAAAAGTTTCCACATGTCATTAGGTTGCCACAACCAAAACATTTGAACATTTTTACTAATATTGAAACAAACAGTTCTATTCATAACCCTCCAATTAACTAACAACTGTTTTCCACCTCCACACTCTTATGGCATGACTTCTAATCATCTTTGAATAAATAGTAAGTTTGATTGTTTTCAGAGGACAAACAATAGCTTTTCTACAGTTTTTTCAACAAATTTTCCTTTTGCTAATTGGGGCTAAACCAGGAGCTCCGTATGCACAGCTAAAGCTTCAGTTAAAAAATGCTTTGCAAGCGTGAAATAATTTAACTGCATTATAAAGTGAGATTTTCCTCTGTACGCCTGGAGGCAAAGCGTCCCATGAGGCATCCTCTGTCACCTTTATTATGATTCCACTCTGCTCTTAATCTTTCCTTCGAGCTCGCTGAGATTCTGTGCCATGAATGGCAAGGTGAACTTAAAAGTGTTCCCGAAGTTTGGTCGAGTGTACTACTCTATTAAAGAAGCAGAATTGAAGAATAATTACGAATTCCTAAAAATGCATTCTTCCCTCAGGCTCTCTTTGTAGATAATGCTATGTATGTAAATGGAAAATGTGCTTTTGGAAAGAAATGACATGACACAAAATAATTTTAATGGTTTTTGTGACTCACATGGGTAATGTAAATGTATTTTTGACTATAAATCACTTTCAAGTGAGCAGGAAACGCGTTAAAGGAAAAGCCTATCGTTTTAAGTCTGTCTAAAAGGAATACCTACATTTTATATGTATTGAAAACATTTTTGGCCTCTGTCATTTTTCATTCTCTCCACAGCAACTGTGAAAAGATTCCCACCTCATGTGATTTCAGTGAAAGCAATGCAGGACTCTAAACTTCAGGATAAAAAGACAAAGTTTATATGAGTCTTCAATAATTTAATAAATTGTGAAAAATGGACTTAAGATAATAATATTCACAATAACTGGTGGTAACCAGTTATTATGAATATTTTTGAAACTTCTATAAGTTGGATTTTTTAGAGAAACAGTGAAAAATGCTATTACTATACTAGAACTGATGGGTTGGATTTTACATTGTTTGATTTATGTGACTGCAAAGATATGTATTTTCTAATTATCAACAAGTGAGAATCGAGAACTTTTTGAACATTTATTAAAAATACATATGTACTCTACATTTCATTAATTATTTCAGCTCTTTTACAATATTTGATCAACTTAAAAAATAAGGAAAAACTCTAAAAAAAATGCCTTACTCACTGAAATTTTACCAATTCTTTAACCAATTATTACAATAATGTCTGTAAATGTAGTGAATTTATAATTTTATATAATGACCACAAGGATAGACATTTTTCTTTCATCATTTGATAAATATAGTTATGTTGTACAGCCCCGATTGCTGGGGGGTAGCCTACTAGCCTTAATAAATTTTTATTTATACATATTTATAAACCTAATAAATAGACATTAAGAATTGTATTTACAACATTAAATTACTTTAACCTACACTGATCTTTATTCCTATCAAGGAATAAAGCTAATAGGTGCTATGAACTACGAATTCCCCTTTTAATTTTTCTGTATTGATTAAGAACAGGAGACCTCACATGTGAGAGTGACACTGTCACAAGGTGACACTGGTTGTGTCTGCTGTAATGATCTGATTAGATTAGACAAGAAATTATGAAATCTGACAATTGTGATATTCTTATTCTCTAAAACAAGCGTTAAGCAGAAAAGTTTGTGTAACATCCTATTGCAGACCAGTCAGCTTACCATTTGTTATTGAGTTGGCCATCCTCATAGAGAAATGCCGCCTTGCTGAGATCTTCTTTGAAATGAAGTCTACATTTCCATAACATTTCTTTTTAAACTGACCAGATGTTCTATGCTGTTCATGTGTCTGACTTGCTGCCCAGCTCATCAGCTCTGTGCAGGTTGCCGTTGCTTCCATCAGTGTACTTTTAGCAGAGCTACTTGTGGGGAGCTTCTGAAATGCAAAGTGGCATATTTGGAGGAATCACAAGCATTAGCTTGACTGACCATGACCTGTTCCTACATCCCAGCGAGATGAAGGCACAAGGTTAGATGAGTTCAAGATGAAAGACACTGTAGTGAAATCATCATTAGAGATGATTTCACTACAGGAAATCATCTCTAATTCAAAGCAAAGTAACTAACTTTGCACTTTAACCATTTGTGTTATTTATCTATTTGACTACAAAAGCCATATCCTAGCTTTAGTTAGGACTTTGAATTGTACCGTTTGGTGAAAGTGATATTGTTTGTGCAGATATTAGTGCTGCTGGATGAACCAAAGAATGGCTTTAATTTATATGTGGAAGTTTTGTTTTACACATAGAGTTTAAAACCTTATAGAAAAATGGCTTTTTACCGTCTATCAGGATTTATATTGTCTAGAAACTACAAATATTTATGTTTAGTGACATAATAATTTTTATTTTCAAAAATAATTATGCTGTTTATCATTGAGTCATTGAGAAAACCATAAATACTGGATTGGACAGCATGTGTGGGAGCTGTCATGCTGCACCAGATTACTACAGATAACTACACTGCAAATGTCACGAGCTTCTGCCTTTTTCCTAAACTAAAATGAAATGAAATAAAGTATGGTTAGATTCCTGGTCAGGAGTCAAATGACATGTTTTGCTAGTCGACCTAAAACTTCCTGAACTAGACATTTCCCAGCTTGACTTGTGGCAAACAGCCTTTTTTCTGTTTTGTTGTATATAGAGTATTGTGCGAAAGACAAGCATGGACCATAATAGTCCTGTTAGTTTCTGTGCTGTGTAAGGCCAGACAGGCTGCCTGACCTTACCTGTGCAATATTTGTGTGGTTTGCTGTGTGTGGTACAAGTGCTTTCTTTTGTATCACACATACTAAAGGATACAAATGCCAAGGTGAAAGCATTATGTAAATTGTAAACCTGAACAATGTGTTTTCACAAAGACCCATTATGTGTGATGCACAATAGGCAGTGACACTGAGAGTCTATCTACAGCTCTGACAAAGTGAGCCTCATCACTACCCAAGGACAGTTATTTGTAATTGGGAAAACTATCAATTGATGCGCGTTCAAAGCAAACACACGCATCATTTTGTAAGTGCTGAATTCAAGGGCTGAAATTCAATACCTATTACAAAAACTAACATTGGATACTGTTGGAAATAATTCTGCAGCATATCGAATGAAGTCATGTATCTGGAGTCGAGTGTTTTAACCGATGCATGAAACGATACATTTTTAGACATAAGTTGTAAAGGCCGCCATTTTCTTTGTGAGTATTTATTACGCGGCGTGCTGCGGGGAAAAGCCTGTTCTAACGTTTGAGTCTAAGGTTTATTTTTTAGCACCTGGCGGCTCTTTTTTAATTCTCATCCGTAAATAATCTGCTCTTTCACGTGATTCAGTTTATTTTGAAAGGTCTCAACAGGATCTTGAGCTTTATTGTGAAAGGTTTATGTGGAACATAAACAAGCGGACACGCGATGCTGTTACCGTCGTTGTTGCTAACCACAACGCATAAAACAGGCGCTTGTCTGTCTGTAGTGTGGTTATATTAAATATAAGAGAAAGAGAGAACTTTACGAAATTAATATAGCCACTACAGTCGCCATCAAAACGATGAAAAGAGTTTATTTTGCGACACCACGAAACAAACGATAGCGTAAAATGAAACGATAGATGTTTTTATATCATCATCTGATATATATCATTATATCGAACAGCCCTAAAGTCAGGGTATAGATCAGTATAAAGCTAAACTATACCATACAGTTCATACCATAGTTTATACCATAGGGTTTTGTATAATTACCTGAAAAAGATCTGTTCAGTATTATTGACTCTGTAAGTAAAAGATTCATTTTAATCTGAGTCATTGTCCCCTGTGCTTTTAGGCAAAGTAACACTGAGATCCGTTGCAATATTGTAAAATATATTATATTGTGTAATTTACTGTATATTGTATATATAGTGTATAATATAGTATATAGTAAATCTTAAAATATTATAAGAGTTGTATTCAGCTTGAGTAATATCATAATCACTTCACCATTCTCTCCTATGTTGAGGTGGGCTGCATGTACACATCATAAAGTAGACATAAATCAGAATAGATTCACAAACTCATCAAGGACATTTTGGGCTTTTTAATTATTTCTTTGAAATGTTCTTTTTTGAGGGTGGAATGATTGTACAGCATATATCTTTAATGACTTTAAACAACTAGAATTTGGCTTTATTTTGTTTTTTCTGTAATCCACACAGGGTCACCTATACGTATAGGCTCAAATATACACATACAATCATTTCAACTTTTAATAAGTGGAGCTGAATGTTCTAAAGTGTCTTTTAATTTGCCAAGGCCAAGGCCTGTTAGCTTCTCGTTAGTGGTCATAGTTGACTACAACTAGCAATTTCTCTTTGTCTGAATGAAAGCGATTTGTTTGACTGCACACACTAGACTGACCAATTTCAATTTCATTCAGTTTAGTTTTATATAGTGCCAGATC